CCTTTGCTCAGCTTCATGTTGTGTACCAGTTACAGCCCTTCCTGGATCAGGAATCCCTCCAGTCTGTCACTCATGCCCTGGTCATCTCTCATTTAGACTATTGCAATGCGCTCTACATGGGGCTACCCTTGAAGAGTATCTGGAAGCTACAGCTGGTTCAAAATGGGGCCATGCGGGCAATCTTGGGTGCCCCAAGGATGGCACATGTAACACTTTTGCTGCAGAAGCTGCATTGGGTTCCAGTTTGTTTCTGGGTCCAATTCGAGGTGTTGGTTATCACCTTTAAAGCCCTATATGGCATGGGTCCAGGTTATCTGAGGGACCATCTTACCCCCATTACATTGACCCGTCCCACCCTGTCTGGCAAAGAAGGCATGTTGCAGATCCTGTCAGTGAGAGAATGTCGACTGGTGGGTTCTAGGAGGGGAGCCTTCTCTGCTGTTGCCCCCACTCTATGGAAGACTTGGCTCTTCCAACTTGCATGGGGCAAGAAAAGATACAACCGACCCTGGGGATGGCTGGCGCCTTGAAGATGCTCCCTGAGTTTATTAATGCCTAATTAACATCATCCTGTTGGAAGTATTATATAGGAAGTGTGTTATTGTAGCATATTTTAATTAATTGATATTTATCTATTTTAATTAATGTTTATTCTGTTTTTGCTGTAAACTGCCCAGAGTCACTCTGCAGTGAGATGGGCGGTGACAAATCTGAAATATAAATATAAATAAAAAATAAAAAGTGGCCTGATGCCAACCTAACAAGACTGGTGGGGGCGGGGGGTGTTGGAGGAGTTATGGCTATGGGATTATGTTATAGAATGGCTATGTTATGGTTATGGCTATGTGGTTATGGTAGGGAATCTCCATTTGTCCTGTTCAAATCTCCATTTGTCCTGTTTTAAACTCAGCAAACACACCAGAGCACTTCAAGCGAATACAAGGGCCAACAGAATGCCTGGCTGCACAGTCATACGCATGCAATAGGAGAAATACAGGGGAAGCAAGTTCTTGTTGTGTAACTGGGATGTAGTGCTAGGGGAAGTGAGTCTAGTCCAGAGCTGTACCTGTAACAGACAAGAGATGAGGCTAGAAGGTGGATAGCCAATAGAGCACAGATTTGGGGAAATGGGGCAAAGCAGTGGCAGAGAAACAAAAATCATCCATGTCAAACCATGAATCAAATGCCAGAGAATTTCACAAGTGTCAGCCCTAAGAAATAGATCAGTCTAAGAAACCAATGTCACATAGGTCTAAAATTACTTTTATTGAAACAGCTTTAGTAACAGAATTTTACACATCTGAATGTGCTCCCCCCCCCCTTTATCTTCATGTGAATTAGGAAGGGGCCTGTCTGAGAAGTTTTCTCAAGTTAGTTTCTTGGAATGGACTCAAGCTGCGCTTGTCTGATCATTTCCCTTGGTAGCGGCTCTCCCTCCTGTCCTTCAAGGCCATTCTCTATGCCTTCTACACAAAGGTAAAGTTAAGAATCCAAGAAGCAAGAAATGTAGGTGTGAGGTTGAAGGTTGTTTCCAGCACAGAGCCAGATCCTGGCAGCTACTCCTAAGCAGCCCCAGCTGTGGGTGGGGTTCAGTAAAAGGGGTTATCCTGCTGCTTCTTGAGTAGCTGAGTAAATCACCTTTGCTCTGCTCTCTGAAGCTGTTGGCACTTCCTAGTGCCCTGCCAGAACCTGGTCCTTCATCATCTAAGTCTGCCCGCACCTGCTCTTGCTGATTTGTCTGCCTGGTCAGACTCAAGTGATAGGCTGCTGGCTGGCTCCTGATACTGACAACCTGATGGATCCAGCCCTTCAGCTTCTAACTCTGAGGTATCAGAGTAGACCATAACATCTTTTAACCATGAAGCTCCCTGGTATTTGGGACCATTGATGATCCCTTTGCCTAGTCTACCTCCCGGGATTTTTGGTAAGATTAAAATGCAGGGGAGACTCCTGTATGCCCCTTCGAGCTCCTGAAAGAAAACGTCAGATATAAATATAATAAGTAAACAGGTTCAAAACTTGAAAAAATAGTAAATTCAGGGAGATGTGGCATACAAGCCACCTATTGATCTGTTTTGTACTAGCAATTGTCCACTCTCTCTATTGACATGCGTCATATATTCTCTGTGCTGATTGCATGTATGCAGCTATTTGCCCTTTACTCTGTTCCTCATTTCAGGGGTGAAGGTATTTGACTTCCCAGCAAATGATGGCTTGAAATGCTAAGTCAGAGCATCAGCAAACAAATCAAAGTGGAGCAGTTTTCAACATCAGAATGAATGCATCCTCCAGCCTCATTTTACATGCTTGAAACTCTGTTGCTGATGATCTATGGGAGAACATCCCAGAGGGTGTAAGGCTTTGCATTGTTCTCCTTCCTGGCCAGAACAACGTACAGCTATTGATTTTCTGCTGTCAGTGCTCTGGGGATGAAAAGGGCAGAAAGCAGGCATTCAGGAGACACCTCTGAAGCTGTTATCCCAGCATCTCAAGAATGAAGAAGAAACAGCCAAGCTTTCAGCTTCAGCCTGATGCCCTTCCACTGGGAGAAACATTCACACACACACGGAGAAAGGGGGGGGATAGTAGAAATCAGCAGTGAGAGGGAAGGGGAAGAGAAATGCTGCAATCTCCCTTGCAAGTGAGCCTGGGAAGAGATGAT